GAAAAGCTACGCGTGAAAGAGGTCAGCCGCGATCTTATCCTTTCTCCTCCTCCTCCTCCTCCTCCTCGATTCTCCATCTTTCGACATCCTGTCGCCATATCCGTTTGCACCTGCTTTACCTATCTCTCTTCCCCATGGCGACCTAAACTCCGGCTTCTTCAGCTGCCGTCATCTCGGACTCTCGACCCGCTCCGCTTGCGTACCATTTCTTTCGATCTCTCTCAAGAATATCGTTGGTTCAGTCCAGACGACGAGCTTATGCCAAGTTTTGTTGATTCGTGTGTCAACACTCACACACAGACACACACACACACACACACACCTGTCTCTTATACACATCTAGATGTGTATAAGAGACAGCTCTCTCTCTCTCTCTCTCTCTCTCTCTCTCCCATTTCGAAAAATGATGCATTCCCGTTGCTCAGCTCTCTCTCTCTCTCTCTCTCTCTCTCTCTCTCTCTCGCGCGCGCGCGCGCGCGCGCGCGCACGCTTGTGACTTTGTTTTTTACCTTCGGTTTTCTTTCTTCGAGAGACTTCGGTTTTTACCTTCGGTTTTCTTTCTTCGAGAGACTTCGGTTTTTACCTTCGGTTTTCTTTCTTTCTTCATTTTTGTGTATTTGATTTTTTTTTCTTCTTACTTTGTTCTTTTTCTTTTGTGTCATGCCGAGTGAACCGGGGCCCGGCCATTACCTTCCCTCGGCCGACCCCCTAAGGCTGCGGCGCGTTAACGGGGAAGGCCCGCGGCCGATGTATGGTCCAACTACTGCTGGTTTAACAAAAAGGAGTGGCATTGTCATGGTGTCCACGGTGTCTGAGCGCTTCCCCTCCGCATAAACGAAACGAGAGCATCAAGCACATCTTTCTGCAATACCCCACTGCACAACTGACATGGCGTTGGTGGAACCAAATATGGCACAAAGCTGTTCCCGACACACCCTCACCATGGTCCTAGCGGGCCATATTGACAGGACATTTCCCCCCCAATCGCAAAATCGTCTGCTTTTGTTGAAAATATGTAGAGGCTACTAGTAGGTAGGCGGTCAGTTTTAGGAGCCCTCTGATGGCAACGCTGTCTTCTAGCTCTTGATTGGTTCAGGATAGAGGAAGGTGACGCGGAACAAATTAAGGAACACATCCAGCCGGAACTAATGCGCAGATGGCTCGCTCTCAAACCCCAACTGGACCACCTTTAGACAGACCGGGATATCAAGCAGGCACATACTGCTTTCTGTGCGAAATGGTTGGAGGGAATCGGGGGGGGTGGATGGGGGGCGGGGAGGGGATGGTGGGGGTGGATGGGGGGCCGGGGAGGGGATGGGGGGGTTGGATCGCTCGGGTAGGAGGTGGGATACCAGGCGATTTCACCTGGACAGGACCCCCCAGGGACTACCCACATGTTTTCAACGACTGGACCACCACTGTGCCTCTCGTCCCACTAATACAGAAGTCCCAAGCCTCCAAAATTTTAGGAGTGAGCCATGCACTTGTTGAAGTCGGCCGGGGCCGGTTATACAGGGCCAGCCAGGGGCTAGGTCCCACTTGCACGAATTAAGAAATACTGAGCGTAGATAGCAAAGATCCACGGCCCAAGTATCCTGATGTGCGCAAGTGGGACCTTGCCCCAGGGCTTCCGTGGCCCATACAACTGGTTGGCTCCACAAGCGGGATGGGCCTCGAACCCACAACGTCCTGAATGCCACTTGCGTGCTTAACACGCTGAGCTATTCCGGAATGAAACTGGCGTTAAAAACAAACAATTCCTACAAGGGGTACGCATTTGGCGGAAGACCAGCTGAGGAGTTGCGAAGACCAATCGGCATTTTCGGCTGCAACGTGGGCCTCAATCAATGCTACACGTTGACCAGCATTGACCGACGATTTGGCGGCAGTTCAATTTTCGGCATGTCGTGGTGTTTTTGGCGGCAATCCGGGATGAAGGTTCGAAGACCAATCGGCATTTTTGGCGGGAACATGCACTCCACAAGGACCGACGATTTCGGCGGCAGTTTGTCGCGGCGCAACCGTCCATTTTCAGACTCGTGACACATGACAAGGTTCGGCGGGAAAACGCAACGTTTTATTTCGTGGTTTGGGGATTGAACCCACGACCTCCTGAATGGCACTTGGGTGCCCAGCCAGATTTTTTTTTTTTTTTTTTTTCCCCGATGGACCACGGATCAGATATTAAACTGATTCACTCCCAGCCCATCGAAGCAAAACAAGACCCAGAGGAAAAAAAAAATTCCCGCCCATCAGGATTTCAGTGCACTCGATCCGATTTCGTTGGAGTCTTGGCCGATTCTCGATTGGACCCAGGGCCGAGGTCCCACTAGCAAAAAGGATAGGATCGAGCTCCTGAATCTGGATGTGCTGTAAGAAGAGATGCAGAAAAGCAGTTCAATCTCGATTTCCTGCACAACCCATAAACTCGTTCAGATTCAGGCATTCTCTCCGATCCTCTTTGCTAGTGGGACCACGCCCCAGATAATATTCGCATCGGTTTTTGTTAGAATCTCAGGGCATTTTTTAAATGTTCACACTACTACCAGTAGGTCTTTGCTGGACAGATGCATGTTACCCTACTTGCAGCCAGATTCGTCCGAACAGGCACATCCTTTTTTTTTCTTTTCTTTTTTTACTCATCAAGTACCATCATCTGGATTCGAACTTGGGTCTCTATTTCAACAGTTCATGGGTGTGGTCCCCACTGAGCTAGGCTCTTGGGTTCCTTTTTTTTTTTCCAACCCTACTTGCAGCCAGATTCGTCCCAACAAGCCGTTGACTTGCACTAGCACTTTCTTTTTTCAATTTTTTTTATTTTTTTTTTCCGGAATATCAGATCATGTCAGTTAAATCTGCCGACGACATGGACTGTTAGGTACATCTACGATACGACTCCCTCGGGGCATCCCTTAAGATTGGCACGAAATTGGAACGATACACAGTAGATTAGCATCGCCGCATGGCCCCTGCGCAAGCATCTGACATGCATTACTCGACCGCAAGCATCTGACACGCATTAATCGAGAAATAGGTCCATCTACGAGCCATCGCCCTTTAAAAAAAAAAAAAAAAAAAAAAAAAAAAACCAAAAAAAAAAACTCCGACCTATCCATACTGACACCAGTTTTTTTTGTTTTTTTATCAATCAAATTTATGTATTTCAAAAGGAACTCATCTTAGGGGGCCGGGGGCCTTGTCCCACTAGCTCCGTTGAGCTAGTTCAACGTGGGGTTTTCGAGCCTGTGTGACTGTACGCGACAAGGGAGATGCTAGTCGTCCAATTCATCTAGCGGTCCGTTTCTAAAAAAAACGGCAATAGAGACCGTCTTCGCTTTTTCTTACATAAAAAAACAGAAACAGATCCTTTCTCTCGAATGCTACTACCCCTACCCTCGCCACTTTCCGTTGAAATAGCTGTGCTACTACCCCTACCCTCGCCACTTTCCGTTGAAATAGCTGTCTCCTTTTTTCGAGACAGCTAGTTCAACGACCCTCTTGTTTCCCCAAAAGGCGTTTTTCGAAAGAAACTGAACGAGCCTCCTTCCGCTTGCCATTTTTAGAAGGGATTCGGGCAACTCTTCATTTTCTGCTGTGGAAGCGCCCGTATGCCACTCCAATTGTGAAAAATGAAAAACGAGAACAATTGTATTCCTGCCATTTATAAATGCATTTCTCATTTGAAATTGAATTAAAATGAATTTTTTTAGCTGTCGCACCGTTGAGCTGCCTCAACTAAACGGTGCATATGGGACATGGTCCCGGGGACCCCACAATTCAACCCGGTCGAATTTCTGGCAGCATTAGCCAGCTTATGCTTTTTACGGAACCACTGGACCCGAAATCCTTCTCAACTTCTGAACTGTATTCTGAGTAGACTGCTCTATGAGGAAGCGTGACACCAAGGTTTGCCTGAGTGCATCTAACTGCAATTACAGCCAGAGCTGGAAGAAAGAATCTTACCGCAACCACGTCCAGAGCTGCGTAGAAAAATTCCTAGTGTGAGAATGCTCAGTGTGCACCATGATCCCAATCAATAGATCCGTCAACCAATTCCATCAAATCAATGAAATCACCCGGCCAACAAGGAAAAACAAGACCTACACACCCTTTTTTTTTTTCTCAGAAAAAAAGAAAGTCCAACAGAACATCCGTTAAACTTGGAACGATACAATGAAGATTAGGATGGTGGCCCCTGCGCAAGGATGACACGCATAAATCGAGAAAACAAGAAAAGAAAAAAAAAAGGGGGGGGGGGGGGAGAACCTAATATATTGTCACATTGTGAATCAGAGCGCAAAAA